AAACATATATGTAAAAATTTAAAAAATATTACATATGTATAAAAACATATATATATAAATTAATATAAATGAATATATGTAATTATCGTATTATACAAATTAAAAAAAAAATATTTACTAATTACTACTTTAAATTGTTCATTTAGGGTATTCGTATACCTGAACAAGCTGACCCTGAGGACCCGGCCGACAATATTATGCATGGTTCTGGAAACCGACACGTTATAAGTCGGGGTATAACTGCGTCCGATCGCTGCACTCGGGAGGACGCGATCAAAGAGGCTCGGATGTTACAAACTGGTCAGGTTGGCCAGTTCGACAGTTCGAGACTTCACGCACCAGCCGTACCGGTTGGTCAGCAAGGGTATGGCCAGGCAGGCAGTTCTAGAGTCTCCGTCCCCGGACCATTATTGTACGATCATGATCAGCATAGATATTATTATGCTGGCTAGGCAGGCAGTTCGATACCTCGTGCACCAGCACCGCACGGTCAGCAGGTATATTATGCTGATGAGTCGGTAGCCCAGACGGAGCAGTCTTCTGACGAGTCCGCATCATATAACGACGCGGACGATCCTGGACTCCCACCGCATCATACACCTCTTGCTCAGCATACACCTCCTACACAGCATGCCTCTCCTGCACAGCCTGCGGTTCCTGCACAGCCTACGGCTCCTGTTCGGCCTGCTATTCCACGACAGGCTGGTGGGTGTTTTGCTAGCACTGGATCGTCAGGTAAATAATTTAAGTATTTTTATTTCGTTTGACATTAATATTTCGACTTAATCGCAACAAATTATCAGTACTGTTAGTGACATTGTGACACGGGTCGTGTGACCCGTGAAAAATTGTCAATTTGGCTACAACTTTTTCACACGACTCGTGTGACAGTGAGACACGGGACGGGTCGTGTGACACTCACACGACTCGTGTCACAAGGGCACACGAGTCGTGTGAGTCCACACGACTCGTGTCATACTATCACAAGTATGACACGAGTCGTGTGAATCATGAAAAAAATGCTGATTTAACTACGGCCTTCTCACACGACCCGTGTCACAAGGGCACACGAGTTGTGTGAGTCCACACGACTCGTGTCATACTATCACAAGTGTCGTGTGACACTCACACGACTCGTGTCACTTATCACACGAGTCGTGTGAATCATAAGAAAATTGCTGATTTAACTACGGCCTTCTCACACGACCCGTGTCACACGGGCACACGAGTCGTGTGATCCCACACGACTCGTGTCATACTGTCACACGAGTCGTGTGACCCCACACGACCCGAGTTATTCTGTCGTGTGATGGGTCGTGTGGACCTGAGAGTATGTCGAAATTGAATTCGTGTGCCTAGTCGACATTATTTCAATTATGTATTTATATATTTGT